CTGTCTTGAAATTGATAGCTGTACAACATTGTGAATGCACTTAATGGCACTGATTTCTTTAAAATGTTTAAAATGGTAAATATTATGTTATACACACTTTACCATTTAAAAAAATAGCAGTCCTGTCCTGCCGGGTGAATAGGAGCATCTGAAAATAATCAGATCAGGGGAGGAGGAGTCATGCCATGCTGTACGTGGTGAGACAGTATCGTCATGATTTTTCCTCACTGGATACTAGATTTTCCAATGGTTGAGGTCACAGTTCAGGAGACAGGCTCCAACCCATCTCACAGGAACTGCTTTCCCCAAACGATAAACATCAGTACTGCCCCAGACTCTCACGGCCATAAAGCACATCCTCTTCCCTGTAAGCGACTTAGGGAGGACCAGAGATCCATCTCTCAGTTACAATTAGGGTGAACCAAGCAACAGAAACTTAAGTGACTTGACCAAAGTCACCAAAGAAGATCCTGGCAGCACCAAGCCCAGCCTGGCCCACCCCCAGGTATGAGCATGGTCCGTTATGCTATCCAGCCTAGGCCCATCCGACAGAAAAAGAAACTATTGATCATTCGTTCGTTTGTTTGTTCATTCGTTCGTTCATTCATTCTGTATGTCCCAGATGCCATGCAAAAGGTGCTGGGACTACATTAGAACATAAAACAAACAAACAAACAAAAAAAAAACACAGGGTCCCTGCCCTCAAGAGGCTTTTAGTCAAGGGCTGGAGCCAATTAGAGAGTGGGAAAGTCTGGCCGGGTGCGGTGGCTCACACCTGTAATCCCAGCACTTTGGGAGGTCAAGGCAGGAAGATTGCTTGAACCAGAAAGACCAGCCTGGGCAACACAGTGAGACCCCCATCTCTATAAGAAATTAAAAAATTAGCTGGGCATGGTAGCACTTGCCTGTAGTCCCAGCCACTTGGGAGGCTGAGGTGGGAGGTTTGCTGAAGCCTGGCAAGTTGAGGTTGCAGAAAGCTATGATTGTACCACGCGCTTCAGCCTGGGTGACACGGTTAGACCATTCCTTTCTTCTCAAAAGAAAGGAAGAAAGAAATGAAGGAAGGAAGGAAGGAAGGAAGGAAGGAAGGAAGGAAGGAAGGAAGGAAGGAAAGGAAGAAAAGGAAGGAAAGGAAGGAAAGGAAGGAAAGGAAGGAAGGAAGGGAGGGAAGGAGGGAGGGATGGAGGGAGGGAGGAAAGGAAGGAAGGAAAGGAAGGAAGGGAAGGAAGGGAAGGAAGAAAAGGAAGGAAAGGATGGAGGGAGAGAGGGGAGAAAGAAAGAATAAGAGAGAGAGAGAGAAAGAGAAAAGAAAGAAAGAGAGAAAGAAAGAAAGAAAAAGAGAGAGTGGGAAGGTCCTTCCAGGGCTCAGTCTGCTGAGGGACAATGGTATGTAGTGTCTGGGGGTGCTGCAGGGGAGTGATATTCTTCAAAGTTACAGGATTGCTGGGCGCAGTGGTTCACACCTATAATCCCAACACTTTGGGAGGCCAAGGAAGGCAGACTGCTCACACTCAGGAATTCAAGACCAACCTAGGCAACACAGCGAGACCCCATCTCTACCAAAAATACAAAAAATTAGCAGGGCATGGTGGCGCATGCTTGTAGTCCCAGCTACTCGGCAGGCTGAGGCAGGAGAATCACTTGAACCTGGGAGGTGGAGGTTGTAGTGAGCCGAGGTGGTGCCATTGCACTCCAGCCTGGGTGACGGAGGGAGACTCCATCTCAAAAAAAAAGAAAAAAAGAAACAGGATTGATGGAGACAGAGATTCTCACCATCCCCTAAAAGGAGCATGAATGAGGCAACATATGCCTGTCTAAGTAGCCATCAACCATTTACTGAGCACCTACTATATACCACGTCTGTGTCAGAGGCTGGATACAAAGAAATCAATGATACCTCCTGTCCTTAAAGAACTTAGATCAGAGTGGGAGACAAGTACATGAAAACACGTCCTAAGAACAGAGAACAATAGGAACAAGGAAGGGAAGGCCCTAACCCACACTGGGGGTGGTGAGGGAAACCTCCACCTGGGGAGGTATTCCCTGCGCTGAGTCTTAAAGGACAACGAGGTGTTAACCAGCTCAGGACAAGACAAAGCAGGGACATGGGCAGAAAAATCGGACGTGGGGTCCGTGGGGGTGAACTATAAGCAGCTTGGTACAAGCAGCTCCACTGGACCCAAATGGAGAAGCAGAGCAAGGATGAGAGGTAAGCGGGGCCCAGGAGCCACATCCAGCCTGGTGGGGCTGGGAGTGGAGGACCGCCTGCCTGGACACCCCTCTTCCCCATTCCATCACCCAGGACCCTCCCGCCCATCCTGCAAACACCAGTTGCAAGTACCTTGAGGCCGGAGAACCCTCCCCGGACCCTTTCTCCTCTTCAGTCCCAGCACAGGCCTCGGTATAGAATAGGTGCTAACTAAATGCTTGCTAAATGCATACCAGGGGAATAAATTAATGATACAGCTTCCTGAGAGCAGGGACAGCCTGACTTCACCTCTGTGACCTGGGGGCCTTGCACTGCAGCAGTAGGTACTCAGTGGA